GGCATGGACCACCCCGGCCAAAAGTGATGCTACAGTTCAATGCCTTGGATCATTTTCAGACTAAAGCCCAGATCACGGAAGCTGATTTGAGCTGGTCCTTGAGGAAAAGGGCAGATCTGCCAGCACTTTCCAGTCCTCTTTTCACCTTTTCCCGCTTATTCTTTTGTCTCGCCAGCAGAGCCCACCGGCAGTGATCTTTGTCATCCTCTTTGGTCTGTTCATGCTGCTCATCTTCTACAACTCCAACAGTCGGAACGAGGCCTTCCATTACAACGCTGAGACCGCAAATCTACCCCTGCCTTCCGATCTCAGGAAATGGGGGGTCAAAAGTGGATACAGGCCTGCCTCGGGGAACAAGGTAGGGGAGGATATCTTTAACAGGAGGGGAAAACCCTGGCACGTGGGGTTATTTATTTATCGTGTCATCCGCAACCAGACCATTGTATTACATTTCTAAAAGAACAAAACAAACAAACAGATAAAAAAACATAGATTTTGCAAACTTGATAGTTGATTAAATGTCCTTTGACCAGTATCTGGCCCCTTGGAGTGCCTCTGGTGTTGCTGCAAGAAGGTGCTCCCTTGTGCATGTGGCAGGGCTCAGGGTGCATTGCAGCAGGTGGTCAGTGGTTTGCTCTTCTCCACACTCGCATGTCGTGGATTCCACTCTGTGGCCCCACTTCTTAAGGCTGACTCTGCATCTCGTGGTGCCAGAGCGCAGTCTGTTCAGCGCCTTCCAAGTCGCCCCGTCTTCTGTGTGCCCAGCGGGGAGTCTCTCATCTGGTATCACCCACAGATTGAAGTGCTGGGTTTGACCCTGCCACTTTTGGACTCTCGCTTGCTGAAGTGTTCCAGCGAGTGTCTCTGTAGATCTAAGAAAACTATGTCTTGATTTCAGTCGTTGACGTGCTGGCTGATGCCCAAACAAGGGGTGAGCTGGAGATGCTCTGCCTTGGTCCTTTCACTATTGGCTGCTACTTCCCGGCGGATGTCAGGTGGTGCAATACCGGCTAAGCAGTGCAATTTCTCCAGTGGTGTAGGGCGCAGACACCCTGTGATAATGCGGCATGTCTTAGCGTGTTTTAGATGTGTTCCACACTGGGCATGCAGACTCAGCAGCAGAGTAGCACAGCACAAGGGCAGATGTCTTCACTGTTTTAGCGTGGTGAGATGTGTTCCACACTGGGCATGCAGACTCAGCAGCAGAGTAGCACAGCACAAGGGCAGATGTCTTCACTGTGTCTGGTTGTGATCCCCAGGTTGTGCCAGTCAGCTTTCGTATGATATTGTTTCTAGCGCCCACTTTCTGCTTGATGTTCAGGCAGTGCTTCTTGTCGGTCAGAGCACGGTTCAGAGTGACTCCCAGGGATTTGGGTGTGCTGCAATGCTCCAGTGGGATTCCTTTACGTGGGGTAAACCTACAGGCCACAGTTGTCATGATCCCAGAACCAGAGGGCCTCTAGACCTCTTGGATTGTGGAGTTGGGTCCAAATTTTGCCTGTGAAGCTGAACCTATGGACAGCACATCAGGTAGTTCCTCTGAATTTCTTCTGAGCACAGGGTTCAGCATGCTGGATAGCTCCTCTGAATTTCAGGCTAAAACCCAGAGCGGATTCATGACCTTCACTGACACGAAAGCTGTCATCCTTAAGGTCTTGAAATCTGAGGAGATCTTGACATTGTGCCTGATATTTCTATAAATTTCTATATAAACATGTGGAAGGGTGTCCAAAGGAAGAGGGAGTAAGCTTCTTTTCTGCTGCACTGGAAACTAGGACTCAGTGGAGCCATGGCTTCAAATGGCAGGAAAGGAGATTGCTCCTGAACATGAGGAAGAACTTCCTCACTGTACGAGCTTTCAACAGCGGAACTCTCTGCCTCAAAGTCTGGTGGAAGCACCTTCCTTGGAAGCTTTTAAGCTTTTTAAGCTTTTAAGTTGTTTCTGGGGGACTCCTGCTTGGCCCCACAGCCATTGTCCTGTGGGGCTCAGTATTGTCCCCCATGTTGTTTAACATCTACATGAAGCCGCTGGGTGAAATCATCCGGAGTTCTGGAGTCCAACACCATCTGTACGCAGATGACGTCCAACTCTATCACTCATTTCCACCAGATGCGTAGGAGGCTGTCCAAGTCCTGAACCGGTGCTTGGCCGCTGTGACGGTCTGTATGAGGGCAAGCAAATTGAAGTTGAATCCAGACAAGACAGAGGTCCTCCTGGYCAGTCRCAAGGCCCAACAGGGTGTAGGATCACAACCTGTGCTGGATGGGGTCCCACTCCCCTTGAAGGCACAGGTTTGCAGCTTGGTGGTCCTCCTGGACTCATCACTGAGCCTGGAATTCCAGGTTGCAYGGTGGCCAGGGGAGCTTTYGCACAGTTAAAACTTGTGCGCCAGCTGACTTGGGAAGTCAGACTTGGCCACGGTGGTCCACGCTCTCGTTACATCTAGGATAGACTACTGCAACACACTCTAYGTGGGGTTGCCTTTGAAGACTGCTCAGAAGCTTCRACTAGTCCAAYGAGAGGCAGCCAGGTTAATAAGTGGGGCGGCATACAGGGAGCACACAACTCCCATGTTACGCCAGCTCCACTGGCTGCCAGTTTTCTACCGGGCACAATTCAAAGTGCTGGCTTTGGCCTATCAAGCCCTGAACAGCCCCAGCCCAAATTACCTGTCCAAACGCATCTTCCCCTATGAACCATCGCAGTAATTAAGATCCTCCATGGAAGCCCTGCTTTCCGTCCCGCCATTGACACAGGCACGATTGGTGGGGACGAGAGACAGGGCCTTCTCGGTGATTGCTCCCCGGCTATGGAACTCCCTTCCTGGTGAAATCAGGTCGGCCCCCTCCCTCCTGTCCTTTAGAAGAATGGTCAAAACTTGGCTGTGGGACCAAGCTTTTGGGACAGGGCAATGAAGCAGTAATAGGAAAGATGACCAGGCCAATTAGATTTAATAATAATAATAATAATAATAATAATAATAATATAATTTGACCAGTCATATGACCATTTCAAAATACAACACGAATAAAAGACAAGGCAAGAAGGAGAGGACAGCAGCTGACGGTCTATTTACAGTCAGAATCTTATTTCCCTGGTTCTTCTTTCAGAAAATGTGCTCTTTTCTTGATAGCTTTCAGAATAAAAAGGCTTCCTCTGATTATGGTGGATCTTTCTTGTCCTTGCAAGAGGAATGTCAGAAGATCATTTCTGTTGGGGGACCTGCAGTTGGATCATATTGGATGTCAATATCTGTCTCGCAGTTCAATTAGATTTGACGTGGATGACTAGGATGGTTTTAAATGGTGTATTTTAATATTTTGATAAATATTTTTATTGTTTATATATGCGTATATGAATTCTTGCCCTGGTATTGAATGTTTGCCATGTATATGCTGTGCTCTGCCCTGAGACCCCTGAGTCGGGGTGAGAAGGGCGGAATATACATGTTTTAAACCAGGGATCCTCAAACTTTTTAAACAGAGGGCCAGGTCACAGTCCCTCAAAGTGTTGGAGGGCCGGATTATAATTTGTAAAAAACATGAATGAATTCCTATGCACACTGCACATATCTTATTTGTAGTGCAAAACACTTTAAAACAATACAATAATTAAAATGAAGAACAATTTTCTAAACAACAATTCATCAGTGGGTTGTTGTAGTTTTTTCGGGCTATATGGCCATGGTCTAGAGGCATTCTCTCCTGATGTTTCACCTGCATCTATGGCAAGCATCCTCAGAGGTTGTGAGGTCTGTTGGAACTGGGAAAAAGGGTTTATATATCTGAGGATGCTTGCCAAAGATACAGGCGAAACGTCAGGAGAGAATGTCTCTAGACCAGGGGTCCTCAAACTTTTTAAACAGAGGGCCAGGTCACAGTCCCTCAAACTGTTGGAGGGCCGGATTATAATTTGTAAAAAACATGAATGAATTCCTATGCACACTGCACATATCTTATTTGTAGTGAAAAAAACACTTTAAAACAATACAATAATTAAAATGAAGAACAATATCAACAAATGTAAAATTATTAGTATTTCAATGGGAAGTGTGGGCCTACTTTTGGCTGATGAGATAGGATTGTTGTTGTTGTTGTGTGCTTTCAAGTATTTCAGACTTAGGTTGACCCTGAGCGAGGGCTGGGTAAATGACCTTGGAGGGCCGCATCCGGCCCCCGGGCCTTAGTTTGAGGACCCCTGCTCTAGACCATGGCCATATAGCCCGAAAAAACCTACAACAACCCACAAATATAAGCTTATTAGTATTTCAATTGGTAGTGTGGGCCTGCTTTTGGCTGATGAGATAGGATTGTTGTTGTTGTGTGCTTTCAAGTCATTTCAGACTTAGGTTGACCCTGAGTGAGGGCCAGGTAAATGACCGT